GCTCCCTCATCAGAAACTTATGGGAATCAATGTAGACATGTTATGCAACATTAAGTACGACAAATGTTGTATTTCACCCTGTCATTGTGGAAGGGAGGGGAGGGGAGGGAAGGGAGGGAGAGAAGAAAGTTTGTTTCTGGCTGAAAAGAGATATGGCATAGTGGCCTAGGGCTTGGTTACTTGAGGGACTGCCTGTCTTAGCATCTGCCTGGCCAATTTCAACTTGCAGGGTTGGTGTGCTCCGGGTTCCTTTGATTAAACATCATCATCTATTGGGACCCTAGAAGCATGCCTTTTCTGGAGCAGCGCCTGCCCTCTGGAAGGAAGTCCTCCCCGAGATTCGGATGGTCCCCACTCTGCTGTTTAAAAGAGCCGTGAAGGCAAGGGAGAGTGAGACCCCTTGCTTCCTCATGATTGCCATCTTTTATATATTTTATATATTTTATAGTAATTTCTTTGATGTGAGCTGCCCAGGGTCATTGAGAGTCAAGCTGCATACAAATTTAATAAATAACAATATCAATTATTATTATTTCCAAATTTTCTGGAGTACTGTTGAGATGGAAGTTCTTTCTTTAAAGTGATGTGAATAAACAAATCCAACAGGCTTCCTGCAATCTTGAACATACTTGGATATACATTCCATTGAAATGTGCGTTGTTGGCTATAAATGACAAATTGACATGAGTCTTCATCATAAACTGTTCAAATTTTGTTCCAAGAGTTAAAATGGTAGAAACATGTTTCAACAAAGTATATACCCTACTACTTTACAGGCATCACAGAATGGTTTGTGAATGTGCAGAGTAATGACGACTATCTATTGGGGGACATTAGCATACACAGAATTGCAAGGCATTTAATCTAGGAGGCTAGTAGAAACCAAATCATATATGGACAAGTCCCTCATCTCTGAATGAGGACATAGTTTCTCAATAGGATAATTTTTTTCTTGAAATATGTTCTGTGCAACAACATTATTTTAAGACAGACAGGTAAGCATGACACTAAAAAGGAGTGTCTTTACCTGCAGTACAATGAGATATATGTGCACAAAATTATCTTAAATGAGTTTCTTGGCTTGGAACTATTTATTTCTACCCTGAAAAGAGTTAAGCATTTACTAAATCCTTTGGGCAGGCATACATGGGGAAGGATAGCATAGCAATTAAGAAACTAAGTTGTGAATAAAGAAAAATTCAAATCTAGTCTCAGCTATACATTCATTTCATAAGCTTAAGTAAAATACTTTCTTAAGCCTCAGTTCTCGTTTGCAATGTGAGTGTATCAGTCTAATGTTAAAGGACTGTGTAAGAAAAATTGGGATAAAACACGTGAAGAACTTGAACATTTTGAAATTACACACACAAATATAGATAACTGAGATAAAAGATTATCATCAGCTCACTGTCAAATAACATAAATTTGAAGTTCAGAACAAATACAGAAGTCAAAATGGAAAGTCTCACTTTACTCTTTTCCACTGTTTACGAGTTACTGTTTCTTCTGCTGGTGAAGGATCCATATCATTTCCATTCTGTTCAGTAAATGATGTTTCAGATTCTGAAAATTTTAAATTGAAAACCAGGGAATTTGTGCTGCATAACAAATGATGTGTAACCATAGTTCTAGATGAGATGGGTAAGAGAGCACTTCCTTTGACAATAAGGTGGCGTACATGGAGCTCCTGCCTTTTTTCTTCATAAGACTAACTCTGTGAGGAAGAGATACATGTAGAGTTGTTAGATGAAAGGCAAGAAATAAATATACTAAATAATATGTGACTGGAATTCCAGAAATCACATAGAAAAAATATTCAGTATATTTATTTCCTACCTTTCAGTTAAGGTGCTCTACATGCATCTCCTCCTCACAAAGTTTTTCTTGTGAGTAAATCAGGCAGGAACTCCACATTTATTACCTAGAGCTCCAGAATGAAAGGTGAGATATAAATCTAATAAATAACTCTGTAAGGTAGATTGTGCTGAGAGATAATGATTTACACAAAGATGTGTACAAAACGATATGTTTTATGAGTGAATTGGGATTGGAGCGCGTATCTTCCTGGTCATATTTCAACTGGAAAAACACAATGATATTCTTTCTTATTTTAAAATTAATTTAAAAATTAATTCCAAAACATTGCAGCTGATGTGCATTTCATAATACAAATCATAAAACATTTCTGCTATGAACCTGTATCTTTATTTTCATTAGACAGTTTATCATAAGACTGTAAATATTGTCAAGAATGACCAAGCAACTAAAAATGCACTATCACAATTTTTTGTTTTTTTTTACTGTGAGATACTGTAAGGCACCATGAGAAACTGTGAAATATTGTGAATACTTCGATAATCAAGTCATGCAAAAAACAGTAAGGGAGCAATATAGTTGTGACTATTTTGCTGGTTGCCTTTCCTCTTAGTTTTAACATTCTACAGAAACTAATGTATTTGCAATCAGAAAATAATCTGTTTCATATACACAGTAACAACACTGGTTACGTAAGCACGGGCACCTGCTCTTCTTCTAACAGTCAGAACAGAAGTTCAGCTTTAAGCCAAGTGAGGATGAGACACTGACTTGTCCCAAACTATATTATGGCTGAGCAGAGAACTGAATGTCACATCAAATCTGTTCCTCTAGTCACTGCACTTTAGTGAAATGGAGATGATCAGTTACAGGCTGGTTTGTATCTCCTATGATTCTGTAAGGTGATCTACAGGACAATGGCTTCTCAACTGCTGCAAGCAGTCCTAGATGAAACAAATTATTTTGACTCTGGTTTCAAAGCAAGCTATAGGGTTAAGGCTGCCTTGGTAGGCAGAATGGATGGCCTTCGGTTGAGGAACAGAAGGAGTGTGACTTCTTTGGTTTTTCTTGACTTCTCACATTTCAGTACCATCAGCCATGGTCTCCTTCTAAATTGCTTTAAAGGCACTGTTTGCAGAAACATTTTTATATGGTTCCATTGCTATCTCTCTGGCATAGACTTAAAATAGTGTTGCTTGGACACAGTTGCTCCATGAAGCTGGAATTTATGGGGTCCCTTGGGTTCCATACTGTCTCCAGTGTTTTCAGTGTCTACACAAAACAACTCAAAGAGATCGTTAGGCATTTTAGAGCTGGTTGCTATCAGTATGCTGAATATTCTTTGCAACATATCCAGGTAAGGGTGTGACACACCTGAGTCATTGCCTGCAGTTCATAAAGGGTTGCATATGGGATAATAAATTGAAACTGGGTAACTGGAGTTGCTCACTATGAATGGGTCACACTTCCAGGAGAGGGTCTCTTGTCTGGGAGTGCTTCTGGAGCTAGAACGTATTTTATCAGCTTTCGTTGATACTTTCAACTTTAATTTTACTTAGAGAAAAATGACCTAAGAAGAGTACTGCAGATACTGATAACCTTTAGCCTTAACTATGGGCAAGCTCAGGAAACTTCAGTTAATACAGAACTCAACCAGGAAAAACTCAGATCATATAATATCAATGCTGAAGGTTTATATTGGCTGCCATTTCATTTCCAGATGTGATACAAAGTGCTGGTTATTACTTTTCAAGCCTTCTATGATTTCTAACCTTCTAAATCCAAAATCATCTCTTTGAACAGACCACATTTTAATATTCTTAGTTTGAAATTTCATTCCTTTATTATAAACCATTTTAAACATTTAAAATTGGCAGTATATGCAGCCTAATAAATAACACTAATGCACTGCATTAGCTTGCATTCACAGCTGGAATTGTTTTCCAAAATTCTCTACATACCTGGAGGTACCTTCTTTTTTCTACGCTTCTTCTGAGGTGGAACATCCTGTACTTCAGAGGTCAGAGGCTCATAGCTTTCAGATGGCTGGTGCACAGCAACTTGACCAACGCCATCTAAAATGGATTATGTGCCATCAAGTCCATGTCGACTGTTAGTAACCACATAGACCAGTGTTGTCCAAACCTGGCCACTTTAAGATGAGTGGACTTCAACTCCCAGAAT